TCTGGGAGGTGGCACGTGGAAGCATCAGAGCACACAGGAGCCTTTCCAGCAGCAGATGGGCTCCCATGGGGTGTCTGCAAAGGGGAGCTCTCCTTGCCAGCCCAACAAATGAGTTTAATTCTGCTCCCCCAAAACAAGTCTCCTAGAACTGATCATGCCTCATGGAAAGTGTCCTCTGGCAGCTGCAGAAAATCTGAGGAAGGCTCTGCTTATTTCCAGACTGGAAAAACAAATCTGATGTTGAAAATGTGGCTAAAATAGAAGCCTTCTTATCAGGGGAATGTTGGGGAAGGCTGCAGTGGGCAAATGTGGCACCAAAGCTGACTCTTCCTCGCAGGCCTGGACACAAGAATGTTTTGCAACTACCAGAAATTCAGGGCTGCTTCTCAGCTTGGGTCTTGCATTTCACTGAAGTCCCTGAGTCCAGTTCTAAACCTGAATTCACAGTATGCTACCATGACATCATGAAGTCAAATGCCACTGGCAGTGGAAATAGATATTGCCTCCCAGGTGGGAGCTTCAGGAAAGTGCTCCAGAAGGTGGAGGGGGAAGGGCTTCCCAGGCTGAATTTTACAAGAATTTTTACTGGCAGAAAAGTCTCAATTTAAAGAAACATGTTTTCCTGATTTGAAAATGCTCCCCTGGGCCTTCTGTCCTTAGCTGTCTGGTTTCTGTCACTCTTGTGACATTCCTGAGGCTTGGCAGGACCCAGGGCTGCTTTGGAGGCACAGAGATGCGACCCTGCTATGAAAAGCTTCCACCCAAACAGCAAATCCTGGTGAAGGATTGCAGGAGAGATGCCCCTGGATGGCAGGAGGAGGGACATGAAGCATTGCCAGCTTCCAAACCACCTGCTCCTCCCGAGGATGTGCTGGTTCTCCCCGGGCAGGCAGGCTGGGGCTGGGCCCTGTGGGTGTCCTGCTTTCTGCAGAGCCCTGGCTGCCTCAAGCACTGAGGTTATTCTTGGAATTTCCCCCTTTGTCATTAAATTAATTGTTATTGTGAGCAGTGTGGCACTGGGGCAGGAATTGTGGCTCTGGGGCAGGAATTGAGGCACTGGGGCAGGAATTGAGGCACTGGGACAGGAATTGAGGCACTGGGGCAGGAATTGAGGCATTGGGGCAGGAATTGTGGCTCTGGGGCAGGAATTGTGTTGCTCTCTGCCTGAGCTTCCTCAGGGCAGTAAATGCCAAGCCCTTTGCACCATCCTTAGGGATTCTCCTCACCCGCCATGTGTTCTTGACCTTTTCATTTTTTGCCCTGGCTGAGCCCTCTAGGAGCAGCCAGAAGGGAAAGAGAGGGGAGGTGGATGGCTGAGCCCTTCCTCTGATTTGGCAAATCCTGTTTTTCCCTCGTTGCATCATTCAAAATGTGTTCAGGGCTCCAAACACATGGCCAGAAGCACTGCCCTGGGAAGGAGCCCGAAGAGCTGCAGCGATTTAGACAAAGAAACCAAGAACTGAAGCCATTGCTCCTGTCACTGTCCATTTTGCTTTGTCCCTGCCAGCTCACCATCACTGGAAACAACATCATGGAGACACAGGGAAGCAAGCTGGTGTCTCAGAAAAGTCAGGCTTGCTGCTGGCAGGACAGCTCCAGGCTCTGCTGGGGATCAGATGGCAGAGGAGCAGCTTGGATGAAGCATTTTCTTTCTCAACTTCAGGGAAAAAATTCTTATGGTGGCAGAAGACTGACTTTTGAGGATGAGTCTAAACTTTGCACCTGCACCTCAGATTTGCCCTTGTTCAAACCACAACTGAAATACGGACAGGAACCATTCCCTCCTGGCCACTTGCCACTGGTTCTGCCTGATGTGCCCTGCTGTGCAGAACAACAGAGCGGCCCCTGGCCTGCTGCTTCCCATAATCTCCAGGCTGATATGGACCTTGCTGTGAAACGGATGTGGCTGACATTTAGCAGGAGTGCCAGTTCTCATCAGAACAGTGCCTGGGGAGACGCAGGCTGTGCTCAGCCGCGCGGCTGACGAGACCTGCTGCTCTGCAGGCTCGGTCAGCACCTCACTTCATCAAAGAAACGCTCTTGGCTAGCGCTGGCTGATGTTTCCCAGAAATGGCATGGGCAGGAAAGATGTTTTGCTTGGCATAAAGTGGCCTCAGTGCACATTTCAGTGTTCTTCTGGGTAGGAGGAATCAACTGGGATGAGTTTGGGGCTAAGGTGGGTTTAGCCATGACAAAAAATGCAAGAGCAGTGAAAGAAATGTAGGGAGGATCAGTCTCCCCTCCTGCCAACCTCACTGGCAGAGATCTCCCTGGATAAAAGCTATGCTCCATTTCTTATGATGCAGCAGAATCAGCAATATCCCAGTTGTAGGAAGCATCCTTCCAGGATCCCCTGTGTGCAGAGATGTCAAGGCAATTCACAGTCCCAAGTCTATTTGGGACTACCACCTTTAGTGCATTAATTTTACATGTGGGCAAAGTGAGTCGTTTTTCATCTCTCCCTCGACTGCAGACACTCTTTGGCAGATCTGAGAAGAGGAGAAGAGGAGCCTGTGCTTCCCCCCCTCCAGCTGCATCTGGCTGTGTTTGAAATCTGAAAATCTGAAATGAGAACTGGAGCTCTCTCAGATGGATCATGCTTTATTATTATCATTAATTTTTTGGTGTTTGTTTCAGCCACTTCATAAAGAAAACTGATCTTTCTACCCACAATGAAGTCCAGGATTTCCTAAGAACAAAGTGCTGGGTTTGCCCCAAATACCAGCAGGAGGGCTATGAAGCTGTGAATCACAGGGAACCCCACGAGGGTTTGATCCCCAACTCCAAAGGCTCCATCCCAGGCCGTTTTGGGCTGACTCACGAGAGCCCTTTGGCACAAGCAGGGGAGTGCCCAGCTCTCCAGGGAGCAGCTGGCAGTGCTGCAGCCGGGCAGACACTGACACATCCTCCAGCGCGGTGACACCCGCCGGGGCCGCGCTGGTCCCCGCAGCCCCCGGGCGCAGCATCCCGCAAAGCTGCCAGCGGCTCCTGGGGACAGGGACAGGGAGGTGGCGAGGCCACCTCAGCGCTTCCAGCCTCCCGGCAGGGCTGGCAGGGGCAGCACCGCCCGCGGGGCCAGCGCCGCTCCCCGCCCGGCGGCCGCGCATCCCCCGCCAGCTGCGGGATCCAACTGCGGGATGCAGCTGCGGGATCCAGCTGGGGGATCCAACTGCGGGATCCAGCTGCGGGATCCGGCTGCGGGATGCGGCTGCGGGATCCAGCTGCGGGATCCGGCTGGGGGATCCAACTGCGGGATCCGGCTGCGGGATCCAACTGCGGGATGCAGCTGCGGGATCCAGCTGCGGGATCCAGCTGGGGGATCCAACTGCGGGATGCAGCTGCGGGACAGCTGCAGGATGCGGCTGCGGGATCCAAATGCGGGATGCAGCTGCGGGATCCAACTGCGGGATGCAGCTGCGGGACAGCTGCGGGATCCAGCTGGGGGATCCAACTGCGGGATCCGGCTGCGGGATCCAGCTGGGGGATCCAACTGCAGGATGCGGCTGCGGGATCCAGCTGCGGGATGCGGCTGCGGGATCCAGCTGTAGGATCCAGCTGCGGGATGCAGCTGGGGGATGCGGCTGCGGGATGCAGGTGCGGGATCCAGCTGCGGGATCCAGCTGGGGGATGCGGCTGCGGGATCCAGCTGCGGGATGCAGCTGCGGGCTCGGCTCCGGCAGCGGCAGCGGCGGAGCAACAGCGGCCTCCAGTGCCGGGAGCTCCTCCCGCGCTCCCGGCAGGATCCGCACCCCGCGCACAGCCGCGGGGCCACGGAACGACCTTCCGAGGGCTTCTTCAACCAGGGCAGGGACATCTTCAGCCAGGGTGCTCAGAGCTCCCTCCAGCCTCATCTTGAATGTTTCCGGGGATGGGGAGTGCACAACTTCTCTGGGCAGCCAATTCCACTTTCTCACCTCCTTCATGGCAAAAAACTTCCTAATATTTAACCTAACCCTCTAATATTTAACCTAACCCCGCCCTCTGTCCGTTTGAAGCCATCCCCCCCTCGTCCCATCACTCCAAGCCCCTGTAAAAAGTCTCTCTTGGTGTCCCTTTAGACACTGGAAGAGGCTCTAAAATCTCCCAGGAGCTTTCTCTCCTCCAGGCTGAACATTCCCAGCTCCCTCCGCCTGTCTCTGTAGATCCTCCAAGGTGATCCAGCCCTTGGAGTGTCTTCCCAGACTTGCTCTAACAGGCCCAAGTTTTTCCCATGTTGGGGACCCCAGAGCTGGGTGCAGCACTGCAGGAGGGTCTCATGAGGGCAGAGGGGCTGAGTCCCCTCCCTGGCCCTGCTGCCCACACTGCTTTGCATGCAGCTCAGGACAATGCTGGTTTCCAGGCTGCGAGTGCACACTGCTGGCTCATGTCCAGCCTCTCATCCACCAGCACCTTCAAATCCTTCTTGGAAAGGCATCTCCCATCCTGCCAGCCCACAGCCCTCAGGCCAGGTTGTCAGCGCCAGCAGCAAAGCTCACCAAGGCCAGTAGAGGGGAAAAAAGTAGAATTTTGCCAGGAAAAACTGAATCTTTTTGGTTTTCTAAGGCACTGGGTAGCTGTGACTTGCAGTACAAGTGTGATGCTCCTGGTGCACAGGGGCCATGCCATGGGGCACTGGCATATGGACAAGGTTGGAGATGGGTCAGCATGGATATGACTTATTGGGTTCTTTCTCCTGGCAAAGGCTCTGGGGCAAGGGCTTTAGTGCTCTGTATTTAGCAAATGCAATTTCAGGTCATGAGAATGCTAAAAATCTATTGCTCAAGCACTGGAAGTCTAGGAAAGGAAAACAAAATTCTTGATGCAAAAAAAGATCTTCCCTGTTCTGCCAGAGCCTGGATCTCTCTTTGGGCACATCCCAGCCTTCTCCCCGGGGCTCTGTCAGTAATTTGCTCACAGCTCTTTACAGGCATCACCAGAACAAACCCCATTTTTTCAGGAAGGTGCTCTAAGTGTTGGGGAAAAGGGGTTGCTGTGTGTGTAAGAAATCCCAGCACAAGACGTGGCGATGCTTCCATTTTATTGGGGTTTGAGCAGGTGAGGGGACAGCTTTGTGCTCCCATCCCTCATGTCAGTTTAAGCGAGGTTGTTGCGGGGAGTTTGGCACATTCCTCTGTTCTTGATGCGCACGTGGTCGCCTCTTTGCCTGCAAGAGAGGTTGAAAATGTTGGGGGGCTGCCCTCGCGTCCCTGAGACACGGCAGAGCCTGGCTCAGAGGAGAAAGGCAGAAAGAAAGGAAAATACTGCTTAAATCATCATCTAAGTGTTATTCACAGCAAGCCAGGCCACATATTCTTGACAGGGAGTTCAGGGTTACCATGGACATGTGTTAATTAATTCCAATAAGCTCAAGAGTGCTTTCTGACACCTCCTGGCAGGATAATTCACCTCCGTGCTGCAGGACAGCACTGAGACACCTCTAATGCCTGTCTGACTGCAGACAATAAAGGCTATGATTTTGTTTTGTAGGGTTTTAGAAACAAAAGACTGCCACACTTGGGTTTGGCCTGCTCCCAGCCTCCCCTCCTGATTGTTTCTGGAGCAAAAGTGAGGAAAAAATATAAAAAAAGGTACCTTAAAAAAAAATTATTTTCTTCTTTTTGCCCAATAGTGGACATGATTCCTCTGAATGGTTCCATTTTCACAAGGAATCATGATGTTCTCCTCTTTGGCAAGACAGATCCATTTCTCAGGTGCGTTAGAGAAATGCTGGTAAGATGATTTGCCTTTTGCAAAAAGCATTTTGCATGCTGGTCACAGTGAAGTGACCAAAGGCGACAAGTGAGCCGCTGCTGCCACAGGGACCCGCCAGATGCTCAGTTATTCCCTGACTCCTCGCAGGCTTCCAGCTCTTGTCAGGCCGGTTGCACACACAGAACTGCAAATGACACTTCATCCTGCCTCCTGGCTGAATGGTCCCCATGGACCAAGGCTTTATAGATGAGGACACTCCGTTTATCTCTCCCCCAAGACTTTTGGCACCAGGGAGCTTCAGAGTCCTGAATAAAGCTTCAGGGCCCGGATGGCCCTGGCCAGGAGACCAAAAGGCTGTTCCTAACCTCAGAATTCCATCACCTGGGAACAAACAGGGGAGCTGCAAGGCTCAGGGCTGTGACCCACAGGAGCAGCACGTTTTTTTCCACTTGCAGCTGCTCAGAGCTTGCACAAGCAGGAGTTTTAGGAGCTCTGGGAATGCAGTGCCTGTCAACACAAGGTGGATGCAGCACCAGCTTCTCATCCATCCCATCCCATCCCTCCTCTGACTCCTGCTCGGCTCTGAATACACCACCAGCTCAGTCCTTCCCTTTCTTGTACCCCAATTTGCCTTCTTGTGAGCTCCCACCCCCTGTGAAGCTGCTCTCTGCTCTGGGGAGATGGAGCATCCTGGATGCCACAGCTGACTGTGGAGCCTTCCCTGCTCACTTTACCCTGCTCCTGGTCCATGGCCAAAGCCCTAATGATGTTGTGTCTGATGAACCTCCCACCCCCATCTGTTGCACAATTCAGGGACAGCTGGTGCTGGGCTGCTGGCTTCCAGCAGGGTCATTACCACCCTGCCAGGCCGTGCTGGGTCATTAACTGTGGTGCCTTTGCTGAGGAGATCCCACTCAGCCTCTCTCTGCCTGACTGCACCATGCTCAGCCCTGAAAGGTGAACCAGCACTTGAGCAGAATATGTGGCAGCAGCCTGGGTTAATGAAGCAAAGAGGGGACAACCCAATTGACAATATTTATCCAGGCTCTTTTTTTTCCTGGTGATCTGGATTCTGTTCCTTGCTCCTGCAGAGTTAGCAGGGAGGCAATGCTCCTGAAAGCAGAATTTGGCTCCACAAACCCACAAATCCAGAGAGAGAAAAGCTGGACTTTGAGCTTCTGCTACAAATGTCTCTGCTGATGGCAGATGGCCTGTGAGCCTGATCACCAAAAATCCCTGCCTACACCAGGTGAAGTCGAGGGTGAAGCTCCCTTAGCCCTGCAGACTGGGGCATCTGGCTCCAGATAAGACTCAATCTTCCCAAAAGAGATTTTTGAACCACTTAATAGCATTGAGTTGGAAGTAATTCCTTCACTTGTCTGACACAGAGTGCTTCCAATGTATAAATATATTTTAAATTACCTAGGGCCCAAGCCAGATGAAATGTATCAAGTCTTGCCAGAGACACCCTTAGCATTTGGACCTGGCCTTCTGCTAGAACAGTGCAATCTGGCACCAGCACAGCTTAAATATAAAACTCATTCTTAAAAATACCCAGAGCAAATTGTGTCCTTTCATATGCAGAGAAGACAGAAAGCAGAGCTCAGCTATAAATTTCTGGGGTGAAAAAACACAGTTTTTTCCTCAGCCACCACACATCCGAGGTCATCTGGAAAAATATTCTTCAGCCCGTGTGCTAGATCTGGGCAGACTTGGAGGACTTTGCCATTTGTCTGAGATCCTGGATGCCTGCCAGCTCTTGCTGCTGTTGGCAGCTGCAGGTATGGGGAGATTTTTTGCTTGTGGGCAGCGTGTGTGCTGTGAGCCACACACACTGGCCCGTTCCTCAGCTGGAGTCCACATGCTCACAGCAGCTGTGCAGGAGGCCAGATCCGTGCCAGATGTGCTGGGCTCCCTGCCCAAGCTCCACCCAGCTGCATGCAGACAGCTTTCTTTCTAGGAAATCCCAGATATGTGTGGTAGCCCTCATCTGTGTGGCATTTGGACTTGCAGCAGCTCCAGATACTCACAGGTTGTGAAGGCACAGCAGGCACTCGTTGCTGTACAGGAGGTTATCCGTGCCACAGATGGGGTCAAACTCCCTGGTACACCCTCTTCCCAGGTTGAAATTCTCACAAGAAGGCTGGAGACACAGAAGGTTAATTTTGAAAATGTTAAGCCTGTTCTCAATTTACCAAAGGAGCTTTGCTTTCCCAGAGAGGTGCACATTTTGTCTGTCTTCACAGCCCATCCTCAGAGCTCTGCTGTGAGCTCTCAGAAACACTGGGACCATCTGCCACCGTGTCCCTTGGCCAGCTGAACTCCACCTGGCACTGCTGCACGCCCTTAGGAGTTACAGTCTAGAGTAAATAGTGCTCCGTGGGCACTGCCTGAGCATGTTCTTCCCAGTTTTTATTTTTATGCCACAGCAATACCTGTCCTCACACTTGCAAGCCAGAGACTAAGGGGACTCCTGACTTTCTTGGCAGGCAACAGCAACATTTGGCTTTTTAGGAGCTCTTCTTTCAGTGTTTGGGGGAAATGCAGTGGAAAACCAGTATCATCACTGGGATTTTGCTGTGGCACTGCAGGTGGAAGGGGCTTCCCAGGCACTGGCATTTTTGGGCTGTCAACCCACTCTGCCTCACTGTATTTAGCAATGGTGGCTCCCCAGTGTTTGAGTTAGTGCTGTCTCCCTTGTGCTACACAAAAGAGGAAACTTCACCTCTGTTCCTCTGAAAGCAGCTGCTTCCATCTCGGCGTTTCCTAGAGGAAGAGGAGAGAGAGAGACAGAGAGAGAAAGAGAGAAGACACCTTAGCACCCATGACTTGAAAGCAGCTGCTTCCATCTCGGCGTTTCCTAGAGGAAGAGGAGAGAGAGAGAGGGAGAGAGAGAAGACACCTTAGCACCCATGACTCGGGCTGGTTTCAAGGGGGACAGAATAAAGGCAGCTTAGGCTGAGGACTGTATCTCTTCACTCAAACACCTTTGTCCTAGAAAATATTTTTTTCCCTTGGATCACCCATGTTTTTCAGCTGAATCCTTCCCTGCTGTGTCACCCTCCTTCCCCTGGCAGAAACACTGTAATGGTGCAAGGCCCTGCCAAGGAAAAATGCATTCTAGAGATGTCACCTGCTAGCTGTCAGGGAGCTAAGGTGGCTTTTGTCCTGTCTTAGCACATGTTCATGAGGACCTGAGAAACTCCTGCTGACACTGGACAGGTGCTGGAGTAAATCCAGGGTGATTTTTCTGCTGTTATTCCATTTTTACCACAAGCAAGCACAGCAAAGGACAAGTTGTTGAAAGTCTCTACTAGAAGGAGAACCTGAGGTCTCACATCAAAGCTGGTGGGATCAAGCCATGAGTTTGGGCTTCCCCATGGAGAAACTGGCCCTGAGCTGGCAGCTGGGATCACAAGGGTGGAACACAGGGTGGGTGTGTTTTGAAAAACAACCTGAATTTTTTAGCAAAAAGAAGAACTGAGAAGAAGATCCTGGGTTTTTTATAAACCCAGAAGTCATCTACATGGAGGATTTATACTACATCTGCATTAACAACCAGCACAGCCCATTAGCAGTGAAGCATTTGGTGCTGAGGAGCTGGTAGCCACACTGTTTAATATTTCAAGGGTTTTACTTTGGGCTAGCACTGGTCCAGACCCAGGAGCTGCAGCTCACTACGTGCCCAGTTCATCTGAAATGAGCCCAGGTTTTGTGCTCAGACAGCCCTGCAATGGCAGCCTCTGTGCAGTAAACAGGATGACAGAGGACCTGCTTGAGAAGCACCCTCCTGTTTGGAATGAGCCCACTAAAGCAGGACCTGAGGAGCAGCAACAGCTCATGTTCTCATCCCTCTGCACCATATGGGATTTTGAAAACACAGTTGGCTTAAACATTGGCTTTGGTAGTGAGAGCTGCCTTTTCCCTTGCATAGATTCATTTCCTGTCTTCTTGGATTTGCTTTTTTAAAACCAGAATAGCACCTATTCACTCTGAAAGGATCACACTGTCCTAGAAATCACCAGTTACAGGACAAATCCTACCCCTGAAGAAAGAGCAGCAGGTCTGTTCATTTTTGGGAGCACGTTCACCCTTTCAAAGCCTTTGTTTTGGGTTTGCCCACAGCCAGGTACAGGTTCAATGCACGTTGGCCATTGCAGCATTCCCTGCCCAGGGCCACAGCAAGGTCCCAGCACCAGCTGCTCTCTTCCCACTCTCACCTTCCCATGTGGCAGACCTGGGAGCTTTAGCAAGGAGAGGAAATAGCTCCTAAGCAAAATGTTGGACTCACCTTGGTAGAAGAAGAGTGCCAGGGAGAGGAGCAGGAAAACACCAGCTGCCTTCATGGTCGAGGCGATGTTTCACTGAGCGCAGCAGAGAGAAACTGGGACACTCCTGGGTGCCTCAGAGATCCTGTCTCTGGCACTCTGCTGGGACCTTTATACCTTGCCCCACTCCTGGCACCACAGCACACAGCCAGCTCCACCCTGCAGTCCTGTGGTGACAACATTCAGAGCACGGGGACAGAGCCAGGTGGCAACTGGCGCATTGGAGGGCGCAAGGATGAAAGCCTCTCCCAAGCCAATGGAGGAAATCATCCTTATCTGCAGCAAGGACTGGGCCCTGTCCCAGGTGTGGGGTCAGCCCTGGGTCTGCACTCCTGTGATAAAGCAACGTTGTACAAAGAACCAAGATTGGAGAAATGGGCAGGACAGCAAGGGAAGTGCAGTTAGCAGCACTGTGGCTTTGACTGATGACCCTGCTGCTGCCACGTGCAGGGTGGAGCTCTCTGCTGAAGCCACCTCTGGGTGAAGATGGCTTTGATCCACACACCCCTTTCCTGCTGTGATCCACAGAGCAGAGCCAGGGGGCTGCAGCTCCCCTTCCCTCCCTGGGCAGGCAGGAATGGGAGCAGGGATTGCTCTGGAGAGCACACAGAGCTTGCCTGTGCCTTGGGCTTGCTCGTGGCTGCAGATCCAGTGCTGCTGTTTTGACTGCACATCCCTGATTGCAGACAGCAGCTGAAATGAGCTGCTGGGTCGGACGCTGCTCCCTTCCCCTCTCCCTGCCTGCAGCTGGGAGTAAACCCTGGGGATTTCCCACAGTTACACCACCAGTGGTGCATTGCAGAGAGTGGATCAGTCCCTCGGGGATTAGAAGGATTAATTAATGTTTCTAAAGCACTTTGATATCTCAGCCATAAATCACTGGAGAAGTGCAAAGCAAATTATTACTAATGGGGGCTTATGACTCAAAGACAGATTTTTAATTAGCTGAACAGGAAAAAGTCAATGCCAAGAGCAATTCAAGGAGCTGTTTGAGAGGGAGAAATCTCAGCTCCATTGGCAGCTGCTCCATTGTCCAAAGGATGCCCCATTCCCAGCGTGGCTCTGGAGGGTGCTTTCCCCTGCCATAAACATCTCTTTTGGTTTTGCTTCAGTGGTCATGGGGAGATTCCTCCCTCTTGACTGGGTTTCCCTCTGCTCTCCCTGGGCTGACCTGCAACATGAGGCAGAAAGAACTTCTCCTAGTGGCATCTGTTATTTTATTAATTCAGAGTAAAGCTGGCTTTGGGTATGACCTGCTCAGCAGCTCTCAGGAGATGGGGTGGGTGTTAGTGGACCTTTGAGCACAGGCAAAAATCCTTTAGCATGTCTGGGACAATGGTTCAGGTGGTGTTATCACCCTCTGAGGAGCAAGGGAAGGAGGGATGATAATTTTTTATAGCTAAAAGAGGTTCACCTCAGTCCAACACTGTCCCCTGGATTTTCCCTCTTCAATCTAAGACATGTAAATAGAGCAGTACTGAAAAGAATTTCTCTGATTACCCATGTTTGGGGCATGCCCACTCCTGGTAAAACACATTTTTCAGTTTTGAGATCCTTGCTGTAGCCAGGATATGTGATAGCTTGGATTGTCCAGGAACAGAAACGTTTTTTCTCAGATTCCTTGGAAACATCCAGGCGCATTTCCAGACTTGAGCTTGACGGGTACATCCTCACTGTTTATGCTCTGCAGGTGGCAACTGTGTTGGCTCCTGGGACATTTCAGGGTGTGTAATGCCATGGTTTTCTCCTTCCTCCAGAAGTCAGAGGCATCCAAGCACAGGCAGGCTGCTGACCTTCCCCTGCCTCCTGGACACTCCTCTCTTCATCCTCTTACTGCTGAGGCTCCTGATATCTTTGCACTGGCTGATTTTAATGTTCCCAACTGCTCCCATAGCTGGATGAGATTAAGTACTTTGCTACTGAGGAAGGTTGAAGAAACTCCAGATTATGGAGTGCAATGGACTGAACTTAATTATTCCACAACGAATTGAGCCAAACCAACAGACTCAAGGGCAGTTGCCTCTGCCAAAAGAAGATTCCAGCACAGGCTGCAGCTGAACAGCAGGCACACTTGGGTTTTAATGCAGTTTCTCCATTACAAATGCTCTTCCTCTCCAAGCATCTCCACTGACAGCTGTGTCTTTATGAGATGCCTTCAAAAACAGGGGATTTCACGGCTCCTCTCTCCTGATTGACAACAATTCGATATCCTTCAGGAAAATCAAACAGAAATGCTTGGGGCTCATTTGACTGGGGAGGAATGAAAAAGAGCTGCGAGCTGCTACTGCACTGGGTGCTCCTGGTGCCGCCCTCGGCAGTGTGGGCTTCCTCAGGATGTGTCACCTTGTCAGAGCAGCGTGTTCCTCCAAACACATCAGCTGGAGGAGTGCAGAGAAATGAGTCAGGTGGCTCTGCCAGCCATGCTGTGTGACTTGCTGAGCCTGTCGTGGAGAAATGGAGGGGACAGGCGGGTCCCAAAGCAGGGGTGGCATGGGATGGTGTCCCCTTGGCCACCTTGTTGGGTGGTGGCCACCACACGTGGGCACAAGGTCTCTGCAGTTGCTGATGGTGTGGGTGAGGAGGCAAGTTGAACTGCCAGGTCTGCCTCCAGGTGGAGCAGCAGGAAGAGGTGATTCTCCTTCTGCAGGATGAATTTCTGTATTGTCTTTTGGCCAAACCTGAGTGTTTTCAAGTTGCATTAATTTCAGTAGTAAAGTGTTGCAAAGGGATAAAAAATTGCATTGCAGGGCAATTAAAAATATGGGAAACTACCTATTTCACTGTGATGATCCCTCCATTACAAGCTGGAGGATCCCTTGTTATAACCAGGGCTGGAATTTGGGTTTTTTTGTGGAGACTTGATGTACAAAGAGAAAGCCACCAGTGCCCCCAGGAAACCAACAGAGTCACCAGTCAAAAGCATTCAAAGATCACAAACCAGACCCAGATGATCATGAATCACAGCTTAGAAACCGCAAATGGTTCTTAAGCCTCTTCCAAATAATGGCTTTTCCCAACAAGCTCATTAGGGGTGGTTCACATTTTCCAGCCTTCTCCTGAAGCAGAGAGAGGATGGGCTAAAGCAGGAGCAGAGCTCCTTGTGCAGTCCCAACCCCTTTCACCAAGGAATGACCATGACCAAGACCTGCACCATGGCCCTGTGCTGGTGGCATCCCTGATATTGGTCTTTTGTGGAGGTTTTAGGGACTTTCCTTGGGATTCATGCAGCACAGGCACCAGAGGCTCCTCCATGCTCAGGATCTCAGCAAGGGGACTTTGCTGCTGCCCTGCAGTGGGTGGGATGAGTGAGATTTGGAGAAAGCCTGATGCAAATGTGAAACCTAGAGATGCCACAAAAGCCAGTTCCCAAGATGCTCAAAGCTCTTTTGGGTCCAAAATGCTGCTTGTGTTGGATTTAAAAGTTAAAATGCCTAAATTTGTGTTACCTGCCAGGCCTGGATGTTGCAGGTGTAGCCAAGACCTTGCCCATGGTATTCTAGGTGGTTTTGAAAGGTGTGTGAGACAGACCAAACCCTTTTGCATTAGCAAGGTGAGAGCAGCGTGCAGGGATCAGCTGCTCCTCTGTCCAGGGAATACTGCTCAAGCACTGATTTTTCCTGCAAGAAAAAAACCCCAACCCAAACCATAATTTGGTCGGTAGTGATTTTTGTCTTGGATTCTTTCCCATTTAATGCTGAGAAAGCTATTCTGTTGCTTTGGGTACATGGGAGATATTGAACATTCTGACAGTTTAGGAAAAGGGATTCTGTGAGTAGCTGCTGAGGAAGCATTACATATTTTCTCCAGATGCAGGAGAATCTCTGGAGCCCAGGACAGCATATCAATTTGTTTTCTCTTCTGTTCTGGAAATCTTGGACTTGGGACCTCTGGTTTCTGGGGAGGGGGCTGGGCATACCTACAGGATAACACCACCAAATCATAATTTCTACTTTTACTAACGCTTCTGTTTGTTATTCTTCAGCAAGGGCAGCGTGTCCATGAGAGAGACCTTTGGAAATCTGCAGGCATCTGCAGCTTTGCCTGAGCCTGGGTATTGCTGACAGCATGTCTAAAGACAAAGACATCCCATAAATCAGAGCTTGTTGGGTTGTTCAGAAGAGGCCATGACTGGATGCCAATCAAATGCTTCCTGAGGAGGATGATGAACGTGCTGGGGACAGGCTCTGTGTTTGGAAGGGTTCCTGGCTGACATTGGCTGGGGTGGAGTTCCCAGCCTGGTGTGGAAGCTCCCAGCCCAGCTCCTGGCCTGTTTGCCTCTGCTCTCCCACCTTTCAGTGGCACCAAACCCCACGGGCTCAGCCCATGGAACCCCTTCCCTCCTCTGATGTGATTTACTGGGTGATGGCACGTGGCTGCTGGGAATGACTCTGGACTGTGGTAGCTCTGGTGACCTTGGGGCTCTGTCCCTTGCAAATGGGATGCTGGGCCAGTTCAGGGGGTGCCAGCTCCTTTCTCCCCTGATCTCTCATGCCCCTCTCCTTGGGTCTCTTGCAGGATCTCCATGGGATGGAGAGAGAGTCGATCCCTCAGGAGCTGAAACCTGGAGCTCTGCTTTTCTTGCTTTCCCTGGCATTACCGAAGAAAAAAGGATCATTTTTTCCCACTCCTACAGAAAATGCCAAAAGCGAAGTATTCCTTCATAAAATTGCTTCTTTATTAAATCCTATCTGCCTCCCGCCCCCACATCCCACTGCCCCTGCGGCTGCCGGGAGATCCAGGGCAGAGTGATTAAGCACTGCGGCTGATAATTGGGCAAACACAGATTTCAATCTCCTCCAGCAAATCACTCCCCCTTTCTCCAACTCGAAGCAGCACCCTGTGCCCACTCCCTCTTCCACGGAGCTCAGCCAGATGGGAAGCATATGGTCCCTGTCCTTTCGGGGTCACAGACTCAGGGGGGATGATCCAGTCTAATCTGTCCTTCTGCTCAGCTCAGGCAGCTCTGTCTCTGCTCCCAAGGACCACATGTCCCTTGTCCAGGGCTGGATCTCACTCTGAAGTGTGTGTGAGGTAACTTAAGAGCTGGTATGAGCCACTCTTGATAAGGATCCTGGATCTCCAGTGCCTGGTGCTGTT